TATACAGGTGTAGACTATCTTTCCATTAGAATATGATATACAGTTGTGATTTTATATTTATTTACTTACATAATCATTTGATCATAATTTTTCATTGGTCCAGAACCTATTGGTTTAGCTGACCATTCAATCTTAAATACTCAGCTCAGTATCTAGAACGTGGTGGGCACTCAATAAATTGCACTGAATGCATGAAGAAAAAGCATCTCTAGTTATACATAACAACCATACCAAGGAGCAAGAGGAAATTTCTGGAAATGATGGATATGTTTATTATCTTGAACGTGGTGATGGCTTCGTAGGTGTTTATATGTATGTCCAAACTTATTAAATTCTACACTTTAAACATATTAAGTTTATTGTGTGTCAATTATACCTCGATAAAGCTGCTTTTTAAAATATCAGAATTCATGAAAATACTACAGTAAATGTATTATCCATGAAGTATATTTTACAGTAATATTTTACAGAGACTCAGCATTACTGGAATGTTGTTTTGTTAAGTTTTGGAAAAGAAACAGCACTTCTAAATTAAGAATTAATTTTCACTTCCTGGCTCTGGTAGAATGGAAGTTTTTAAAGTAAAAATCATGCCATTTAGTTAGTCTCTTATCAGTTTGAAATGATAAGTCTGAATTCAAGATCTCAATACCAGGATTATTTTGCCTTGAATGTTCATTTACTTTTTGAGTAAAAAATTCAGTAAATGTTTTTTCTGAAAACTTGTGTGTGAATCAAACACTATTTTAAATGTACTGGAGTATATTTTAAAATTTTTTTCTATTGAGTCTTTTCATATAAAACAAATCAACATTTTAAATCTCATTTCATTTAAACAGGAGCAAAATATTTTCAATTATAGTGAAGAAAAAATCATTGTACTATTTTTTGTTGGAAATTCCCACTATATGAAGAAGATAATAATGTTTAAAGACATTATAACTTTGACTTAAAACTTTGCTAACGTGTTTGGAAAGAGAATGGTAAACTCATGAGAAATGAATCACAGGCATGAGAGAAAAGTATTGATTTTAACATTATGAGTAAGAATAAGTGACTGGATTATTCAGTGACAGTGGATTTAGAGCTTTGGTTGAAATCAGTTTTTCTTTTGTTTTGTTTTGTTTTTTCATCTGGCATTTCTTATTCTGATTCAATTCTCTTGAATATTCTGATGGTTTCTGAGTGCACTTTTAAAAACATGAGTGCTTTAAAGACCTGACACTTATTAATACACACAAAAAAAAGCAAAATCCAAATAACCCCTATTGACACTTAAAAAAAAAAAATCTTATAGTTAGAAAATGCAAACAATGCAGAAAAGTATAAAATAGGAAAAATAGGAACCTCACTACCCCAGTCCTTCCACCCAAAGGTAAATTATTGTTTTATGCTTTTCTATAAAATTATATATATATATATATATAATTTATTTATTTACCAAAGTGAATCATATTATACACCCTGTTTTATTACAGGCATTTTTTAACTTAATATATTTTGATACTCTTTCCATATCAGCACATGGTGATGACTACATTCTTTTTGCCCCTACACAATGCTTCAGTGAATATCTTTGCACACACATCTCTGTGTTATATGGGTTTTGTTACAGTGAGTCCAGCAAGAACAAGCTACTCCAATCAGTCTATTGTTTTAAAAATTCGATCATTTGATTTTAACAAAAGCCAATATGGTATTCAGAAGCTTCTTCTGGTATCAAGTACTTCACAGCAAATATGTTCTATTATTTCATGACAAAGTAATATATTCCAGTATACATGCTTATGAAGGGTAAAACTTATTATCTATTCAAATAAAATACTATCTATTCTTTGACTTATTTCCAGTCTCCAATCTTAAGGAACCAGATCATTCACAGTACACTCATTTTCCAGTTCATTCATTCATTCAACAAATATTTATTGATCCTGTGCCATTTGACACACACTGTTCTTAACGTTAGACAAATTGTAATAAGTAAGACAACAGACCAAGACCTATTTATCATAAACAGGTAAACCAACAAACAAGAAAACTTCAGAGATAAGTCCTATGAGAAAAACAGACTAAGGCAATGTGGTGGTGGCTAGCATTGGGGAAGTGGGGCAATATCAGCTGGGGTGGGCTGGGGTAATCTGAGCCCAATGACCAAATAAGGGGTAAAAGGAAATGAGCCCGAGAGGCAGGCAAGGGCAAGATCAGAAAGGGTTTGGGCTTCAATCCAGGTGCTGCCGGAAGCCACTGAAGTCCTAAGAAATGACATAAACTCATTTGTGTTTTAAAGAAATTAAAATTCATTTGTTTTTTAAAATAATAATAATGACATTGACTCATCCTAAAATAATAAACTCATTTGTGTTTTTAAATAATAATAACTATGAATGGGCGACAAAAGTAAAAGCAGGGAGATCAGTTAGGAGGCTACTGCAGGTGAACGATGATGGGGGCCTGTACAAGGTAGAGGTGGAGATGAAATGTGGATAGAAGTAAGACATATTTTTAAAACTGAGCCTAAAGAACTTGCTGGTGCACCGGAGCGGTGTGCATGTAAATGATGGTGATAGAAAAAGAGCAATCAAGATGGGAAGACTTGAGGAAAATGCCTTACAAGCCCAACAGCATAATAATATCTTAACCATACCATAATGATGTCATAATAATCTCTTAACCATAACAGTATCTTCACCATCCATTGAATCAATATACCAACCACACACCAAAGGTAATAAGCATCTTTTCTTACAATAACCAGGTAGCTTTGCGACTAGATAGAATTTATGTTATATCTTAACCTCAATTTTAAACTAAAAGATATAATTATCTAAACTTTAATTTACCCCATTATTTTGTGCTTTTGCAAAAGAATTTAGAATGTAGTTGCCAGCATTATCCAGCATCTGTATTCTATAGTCGTATAGTATTCAACTTTGCATTCCTCCTTCTCAATCAGAAGCAGGGTTCTCAAGTACATCTCCAACTACCTTCAGGATGTAAGTTCCCAAAGCACTCCTGGGTATATCATAAATTAGTAAATTAGTGAGCATGCCTCTGTCACCTAGTTAACTATGAGTTCCTCCCAAGAAGGACCAATTCTTAATTCTCGGTGTCCCCAACAACAACAACAAACTCAAGGCAACATCACGTAATTAGTAAGTGAAAAACCACCAAGACAGGAATATGCTCAACATCTCTTTGACTTGCTGGACTTGATAATTTTTGTGGCTCACACCTCTAGAGACAATTTTTTAAACAGCTTTATTAAGATATAATTCACATAACATACAATTCCCACATTTTAAGTGTACAGATGAACATATCTACGAAACGTACTCACAGATATAGAGAACAGACAGAGGTGTGGTTGCCAAGGGGGAGGGGGTCGGGGGGAGAGATGGATTGGGAGTTTAGGGTTAGCAGATGTAAGCTATTATATATAGAATGGATAAACAGCAAAGTCCTACTGTATAGCACAGGGAACTACATTCAATACCCTGTGATAAACCATAATGGAAAAGAATATGAAAAATATATATATATGCATAACTGAGTCACTTTGTTGTACAGCAGAAATTAACACAACATTGTAAATCAAATATACTTCAATAAAATTAGAAAAAATAAAAATAAAGTGTACAGATTCTCAGTGAGATCCCTGTAGTCCAATTGGTCTCTTGGTTCTCCCCAACCATATATAGTCTTCTATCATTCCATTTCCTTAACCATTCATTAAAAAATCATAATTGAGCACTTAACTATATGCCAAGCATTCCTTTTCACTACCGACTTAACCCCTACTTCAAAACCTAGCTCAAGTATGTTGATCACTCAGCTCTTGGAATCTCCCCTTCTCTCAATGCTTCTAGTGTTGCTGCTGGCCTATTTGGCATTAAGTGTCAGCCATCTTGTTACACTGCTGGTTACTTTAACAAATGCATTGTCTTTGTAACTTAGCATTCTGGCTGGGCACTTCACACATGTTATGCATTCAATGGATACTTTGTGGAGGATAAAACCTGGCCCTTGTTAAAGTTATTCTTGAATAACCCGCTTCCTTCTAAGTCCATCAACAGTGCAGTCGCAGGACCTGAATGTTTTTAAACGATCTTGCTGACATCTGAGTTGTATTACAGGTTCTGTGACAAGGTCATGTTGCTGGCACCAGAGCTCCCTGCCAGGGGCTAGCGCACTGTGCAATGGAAGATGAGGAGATCTGAGAGGACTTTGAAATCAAGCACATGCAGATTAGTACAACATTCAACTTCAATCAGGGTTCTGAACCAATAAAAACATGTGTGCTTTCTAACAATCATAAATGAATGGTTTTTCAGAAATGAGTTGGGGGGCGTGAGATAGGGAGGATGGGAGGGAGATGCAAGAGGGAGGGATTATGGGGATATATGTATACATATAGCTGATTCACTTTGTTATACAGCAGAAACTAACACAACATTGTAAAGCAATTATACTCCAATAAAGATGTTAAAAAACAAAACTGGGGAAAACAAAACAAATAAACAAAACAGAAATGAGTTCGGTAGGATACTCTTGCCATTATGGATAAAGTGACAGCATAACTTGGGAAAGGACACACAGTGAGCTATGGACTATATCATGAAATGTTCTTCTCTGTATGAAAGACTCTTGTCATTTCCTGTATGAATGATGTATGTTGTCAACTTTGCCGATGGGTTGTTAATGGGAAACACACAGACACACAGACATATATAAAATAGATTGGTCTATAGAAAACAGAGGTAATCTCTGGAACTCCAGTTAATTACTATCTGTAAATAAGCAGAATTGAACTTCATTTCAGGGTCCATAGGAATTACAAATACTGGTATGCTGCTGTGCACTGATTTTGAATAGAAGCTGGTTCTGGCTTTATATAAAATTCTATCTAAAATGTTAATCACAAAAGCACTGCATTTTTCTCTGGTTTCTGTTCACTAACTTTTAGAGCTGATTTTTTAAAACTATTTCCTTGTGGTACTTACCCTTTTAATTTTTTTCAGATGCATGTTCATCAAGCCAGAGAGAGTCTGCTTTATACAAGGAGATCCTGGACCTGGAAAGGAATAAAAAGGGCCAGTGATGACTGTCCTGAAAAGGCTGTGTGTTCATTTCTTACTTTTAGAAGACCATACTTGTAAATCAAGAGCATCACTGAAATAAACACCTTTGAGTCCTGCTCTACCCTGCAATGTTTCATGAATGCTGGAAATACATTTTCTTTGTTCTAATCCCAGCCTCCGAATCAGAGCCAAGTAGAGTGGGTTCTTCATAAATATGTACTGAGCACCTGACTCAGAATTAATGTAGGGCAGGACTCTGATTAGCAAACGCTACCTGCAGGAGACAGAGGAAACACCACAAATGGAGATAAGATGCTATCAGCAGGTTTTATTTTTTCATGAGGCTTGGGAATAATCACTTATCTCTCTGTTCAAACCTTTCCAGATCTCTCCCTTCAGGATCTGAAAGAAGTTCACAATAAACGCCTCCACGTTAAGCCCTCTTCCACCGAGTGCTGGAGGAAGAGCACAAGATGAGAGAAGCAGCAAATTGTTTCCAACTCAATTTATTCCTTTCTCGCCATTTCAGCGGCTCGCCACGATCTATTCAATATATAAAACCTTACAGCCTAACTTAAAGATGAAATCAACGATAAATAAAAACTACCGTACTTGTTCTGATAACTTGTTAGCATAGATCTCCTTATACAAAATAAAAGGTAACGAAGTTACCCGTATTTGTAAGATATGGGGCAAACTAAAATTTAATGTATTTACGGACTTTATACTAGGCTCCCTCTCCCCTTTTCAGGTAAAACTACTGCTCCCAACTTCCTGCATGTTTGACTAAAAGCAAAATTTGAAGCACCTGGCCCAATAGTTGACTTTACTGCAAGTCCAGAGGTTTGTCAGTCTGCAGAACACGCACTAGCTGGATGCACCCGGCCACTCGCAGGCCGGCCCCAGACGCACTTGAGCACCAAGGGCAGGAGGAGCCACCAGCGCCCAGAACCTGTTGCTCGTGGACCAGGCGAGTGAGCAGGTGCGACGCAGGTCGCGAGGGCTGTTGGAGGTGCATGGAGGCTAGAATTGCATCCCGGGGTGGCCAACACGCAGTGCCCTTCCACAGCTCCTAGCCCTTGACGCCCCAGGCCCTTTCGCCGCTCTCCAGCCCACTCAGACCCAACCCCACTTCCGCACCACGGGCGACTCCATTGTTATTAAAACTAGAGGGTGGCGGGAGAGGATTTGCAAGGATGCAGGAGCCACAGTACCCCTTCCTCTCTGGCCAAGCCTTGGAAGAAGCAGAACAGCATTGAGAAAAGACAGGAAGAGCCGAAGCCACAGGGAGGGACCAGGGCGCCTGTGGTGGAAGAGGCCGGCATCTGCCTCTCCCCACTCAGGGATGGTACGGTCCAAAGCAGGGCGGGGCGCAGGAGGCTCTCCGGAGTCTCTCCCCGCCCCTCTCCCGCCTTCCCCGCAGCGCTGCAGTTGTGCGAGTGAGTGGGCGTCCTGAGGATCCCTGCCCGGACGCAGACGCCGAAGCTCCGCCCCTTGCCTCGCCGCTCCCTCCGTGGCTGCAGGCAGAGCTCGCTCAGCTCTGCGGACGCCGCCGCCTTCATTACCTCCTCCTTCTGCCGCCGGTGTGCGAGGGCCTCGCCCGGCAGCGGCACTGCCCTGCGTGGGCGGCTGGGCCCGCGCGGCTGCTGAGCGCTCGGCGCGGGGAAGCCAGATCCTCCGCCTGCGGGGCGCCGTGACAGGTGCAGAGTCTGGTCTGAAGAGCCACCTGCGGCGGCCGCCGCGATGTCCACCATGCGGAGGACCGTGTCGGAGATCCGCTCCCGCGCGGAGGGTGAGTAGCTGCCGCAGCACGAAGCTGGGTGCGGAGCGCGCGCGGGGGCGGCTCGGGGCCAGCCGAGGGTCAGGCGGTGTGAGAGAGAGAGAGGGAGAGAGAGAGAGTGTGAGTGTGTGTGTGTGTTTGCGAACCCTTCTCCCTGCGCCGCCATCAGTGCAGACCCCTTTCCAGCTGCAGAGCCCCGAAATTGGTGTCCTCGGAGGGATCCCCGAGGCTCGCTTTACACTGCAGCGTGACTGTTGGGTCTCTGCGCTCTCGCCCTGCCCACCTCCCTCCCCACTAGTGCACAAACCACTCTGTCTCCAGTCTGCTTCTCCGTTCTAGGGAGCACAGCTCCAGCCAGCCGCCCACCTTTTTGCAGCCCCCATATCACGGCTCCCCGGGAACTGAATCTGCCTTTCCCAGGTTGCAGGATCCTTTGATCCACATCCCCTCGCCTCTCCAAGCGAGAGGAGCCTTAATTGGGCTTGGGCGCTCAGCCGGTGCTGTGCATTACAGTCTCTGCAGTTCCGCCTCCTGCAGCGGAGTCTCACCCAGCTCCCGTCTGAGGTTTTGTTTTTCCCTTTACCTGATACCTGCCTTTTGGCCAGCTGAGCGGACTTTTTAGCAAGGTGGAAGCTGTTTTCTTTGCTCCACCCGGGGCCAGATGTTGAATGGCTACACTTGTGAGCAATGAGCAACAGATGCCCGAGGGTAAAGGCCAGTAAGCTTTTGGAGGGCCTACGCTGTCTTCATCCTCTGATGAGCCCTCAGCATCCGGCCTAGCATGTGGCAGTCAGTTGGTAAATATGTTTTCATTTTGTTCATAGCGAAGCCAAAACAGTGCATATCTGGAGCTTTGTTTTGTTTTTGTGTCACATAAACCCATACTTGAATCCTATAAAGGGTGGCTCATGTTCTCACAACATCACTCACTGGTGTCCATCCTTCACCCCCGCCCCCTCCCCCCTTTAATGTTTGGCAAGTGGTAAAGTGATGTTAGGAAAAAAGATACAGATTTTAGGAGAATTGGATTATAGGGGTTTGAGACAGGCCATTTTATTATTTTTCCTCTTCAGAGCCCCCATGTTAAAAATGGGGGCTCTGAGCTCTAGTAGCTATGATTTTCGGATTACAGCACTTAGGAAGTACTCAGTGAAACTGCTCTGGGGAGAAGGCCACACAAGAGTCAAAACTAACCTGTGTCCTACTTAGGGATTTAGTACATTCTTATTGTCATTTGTAATATAATGAAAAAATGTACAGGGCACCTTATAGATGCACATTGAATAAATGATAGTGCTGTCTTTAAATGTACACAGTAAAAATGTGTACATTCGTTTTTTTACACTTCTGAGTGACGTGCATTTTCTTTTTTTTCTTATTTATTTCTTCCAGTTTTATGGAGCTATATTTGACATATGGCACTGTATAAGTTTAAGGTGTACAGCATAATGATTTGACTTACATACATCATGAAATGATTACCACAGTGAATTTAGTGAACATTCATCAACTCATATAGATATAAAATTAAAGAAACAGAAAAAAATTTTCTTGTGATGAGAACTCTTGGGATTTACTTTCTTAACAAATTTTATATATAACATACAACTTTCATGTATAAAGAATTATATTTATCATGTTGTACATTACATCCCTAGTACTTATTTATCTTATAACTGGAAGTTTGTACCTTTTGACTGCCTTCATCTGATTTCCCCTCCCCCCATACCCCACCTCTGATAACCCCCAATCTGATCTCTTTTTCTGTGAGTTGGTTGGTTGGTTTGTTTTTGAAGTATAATTGACCTACAATAGTATGTTAATTTATGTTATACAACATAGTGATTCGATATTTCTATGCATTTCCAAATGATCACCACAATGTCTAGTTACCATCTGTCACCATGCAAAGATATTGAATAATTATTGACTATATTCCCCACACTGTACATTTCATACGCATGACTCATATTTTGCACCTGAAAGTTTGTACCTTTTAATCTTCGTCACTTGTGTCTCTACCCCCTACTCCAATTCCCACTGGCAACCACCTGTTTGTTCTGTGTATTTATGATGCTGTTTCTGTTATGTTTGTTCACTTGTTTTATAGATTCCACATAGAAATGAAATCATTCAGCATTTGTCTTTTTCTGACTTATTTCACTTGGCATAATACCGTCTAGGTCCATCCATGTTGTCGCAAATGGCAAGATTTCATTCTTTTTTATGGCTGAGTAATATTCCATTATATGTATACATACATACACACACACAGTGCAGCTTCTTTATTCATTCATCTACTGATGGCATTTAGGTTGCTTGCTAATCTTGGCTATTATAAATAATGCTGCAATGAACATAGTGATACATATATTTTTCTAATTAGTGTTTTTGTTTTCTTTGGATAAATACCCAGGAGTGAAATTGCTGGATCATATGATAGCTCTATATTTAATTTTTTGAGGAACCTCCACTGTTTACCATAGTGGCTGCACCAATTTACATTTCCACCAGCAATTCATGAGGGTTCCCTTTTCTCTGCATCCTCACTAGCACTTGTTGTTTGTTGTCTTTTTGACAATTGTGAATGAATTTTCTTAATCATCATTTGAGTGAACCATTCAGGTAATGAAAATACAGTGGTAATACTGGGCTTGTTCTTTCAAATAATAGCAGTTGATGGATTCTATATCATGGGAAATGGGAAAAGAGAAAGGACCAGAAAATAATGTAAAACCTATGCCATATGAGAGGATTTCATTAAGTACCGAGAGGCTACAGTATTGTTTTTGATTGGCATGTATATTTTTCAAAGCATTTTTACAAAGATTACCTTATAGGACCTTAAAGTGCTCCTGGAGATTGGTGAAGATGATCCCATCTGATAGTTGAGGAAACTGTGGCCCAAGTGGTTGAGGTACGTGTCAAAGGCCAAGTAGCTAGTTCAGTGACACATTTGAATTAACAGCTTTGGAAAACAGTGACTGGTTCTTATTTAATCTTTGTATTCCCTGTGCATCCAGGACAGTGTCAGGGGCATAGTGGCACTTAGTGAATGACCCTTACCCCCCGTGTTGGTTGGTTCAGTTTATTATGTGCCCAGCATTTTGCTCTGGACTGTGGTGAGGACAGAATCAATAATGACCCTGTGGGCTGGCGATGTGGCTCATTGCCTGCCTTGCCCACCCTTTTCTTTCCTAAGGAATAGTCTCTTTTGACAGCTCCTGCTGCCTAAAGGCCTTGTTCTGAACAGCAGCGTCCTTGGCTTCAGTTGGTTGGACCACGGCAGGCTCCTGAACCAATAGCAGAGAATCCATAGGTGGCTCAAACACTTGTAAGCTTGTGTTTTGGCTCAGAAAGATGCTTTGTGGTGATCACCTCTCCCATGGGAAGAGTTAAGCTTAGAGGCTTAGAGTGAAGGTTGAAGCAGAAAGGGGCAGAGGAGAATAGGCTGGTAGAGGAGAGAATGGCTGGCTGTAATAGGTTGTGCAAATGCTGCTAGTATGAGGAAACAGAAACTGCGTGAAGAGAGGAAGATAGGAGAGAAAATGAACTGGATGGAGAGAATGAGGCAGAGAGACACACGCTGAGAGAGGGTGGCCAGTCCCTGGAGCACCTCCCTCCTGACTCTTTTAGTCCCAGTTCCCAAGTAGCCTTAGAACAGGCTCTTTTTTTTCCTTGAAGTGACTTGAATGGGCTTCTGTTCCCTGCATTCAGATTGGCCAGATGCATGGCTGTTCTGTGTGCAAGCTATTTATAACCAAATTGAGGGGAAAGAACTTCCATGAAATAAGAAATAAACAGTCTGGGACTTCCCTGGTGATGCAGTGATTAAGAATCCGCCTGCCAATGCAGGGGACATGGGTTTGAGCCCTGGTCCGGGAAGATCCCACATGCTGTGGAGCAACTAAGCCCGTGCGCCACAACTACTGAGCCTGTGCGCCACAACTACTGAACCTGCACTGTAGAGCCCATGCTCCACAACGAGAGAAGCCACCGCAATGAGAAGCCCGCGCACCACAATGAAGAGAAGCCCCCACTCACCACAACTAGAAAAAGCCCGTGCACAGCAACGAAGACCCAATGCAGCCAAAAATAAATAAATAAATACATTTATTTTTTTTAAAAAAAGAAATAAATAGTCTAACAGGGGATGTTATTAATTAAACAGCATGCCTGCTATGGGTAACAAAGAGCTGTGGCAGATCAGACATAAGAACACGAGGTCTGCCGAGCAAACATTCCATTGAGAAATGATTTGAAATGAGTGCTCACGCAGTGCTTTTCAAACTTTAAGATGCCCACAAATCACCTGGGGATCTTGTTAGACGCAGCTTCTAAATGGGTAGGGCTGGAGTTGCA